GGAAATTCCTGCCCCAAGGAGGGAGAGGCAGAAAGCTCCTGAGAGGAGAGCGCCCTCTGAGGTAGGATCTGTCTGTTCCACAGGGAATGGGGAGTGGGAAGCCCTCTTTGGCTTGGTAGGATGGGGGAGAGCGAGGAGAGGGAGAGAGGAAGGGGCGGAAGATCAGAGGCTTGGTCCTGATTCCCTCATTGCAGGGTTCCACGGGATCGGGGTCTCCCTGCCTTGGCATCTCCTGGGGGGCAACTGCAGGCTCTCAGAAAGTCCCACAGCCAGCATGGCAGGCAGAGGAGGTCACCAAGAATCTAGGGTGCCTGAGCTGAGGTTGAACTGGGACCTGTGAGCCCCAGAAGGTCCTTTAAGGAGGGTCCCTGGGAACCTGAGAGGAGCCCATGAGACCAGAAAGGCCTTCTTTGGGCCCCGCAGACTTCAGCCAGCAGCCACCCTGGGTTACCCACCAAGCCCCAGAGAAGCTGCACACTCCCGTGTCCCTGGTCCGGGTTTCCTCGGCCAGGGGTCAGCCCAGGCCTGCCGTGAGGGTCTTTCCCTAGAGCCCTCCAGCCCCTGAAGCCCATGTGAGGCTCTCCTCTTCTGTTCCCAGACAGCGCCACCTTGGGAGGGAGGAAGGTGGGGGAAACTGCCCTGATACAATGTTAGTATTTTGTGAATGACTTAGTAGTTTCCAGAAGAAAGGCCTTGAAAATCAAAAGAGGAAACAAATTACTTTGGAATGTGCAGTTTTCAGTATTTCACGTAGCAAGAAGGAGAGCTTCAGAGTGGATGAGAGCAGTGATGGAAATGGAGGGAGTTTGATTTTTGTAACTCTTAGTCACAGTGTGGCAAGGTTCAACCCAGAACGTAATCCTCCAACTCTGACCATCCCTCTCCCTCCTTAGACCGCCAGCTCCCAGGCCCCATTCATCGCCGGAGTCCAGGTTAATGGCGCCCCTGGCTGCAGGTTGTGCCTGCGGAGTGGTGCCCGGCAGCATGGGATGGGACGCATTGGGCCTCCCCGAGCCAGACTGGTGAGGCTTGGATGTTGTTGTCTGAACTAACCCAGGCTCCCAGGCAGTGGTTTACTAAGGACAGGCTGGAGTGAAACGTTTCCATCCCATTACACACACACACCTGCTTCCACTGGAGCTGAGAACAGTCCCATTGACAGTGATCTGAAGTCCGTGCTGGAGACCCCCCTTGGATAGTTGCCAGAAAAGGGGACGGCCTGGCAGGAGAAGGTGTGGGGCAGTCAGTCAGGTGGCGGCCTCCTTTGCTCCCCTCCAGCGCTTAGTCAGTGGGCCGGCCTGGGGTGTGACAGCGCCATGCAGAGGGAATGGGGTGTGGCTTATGACCAGTATATACGGAGTTATCAGCCCCAGGGTCTTAGGGTCCCGTGTGGAGGCAGACCACAAAGCCAATTAGTTACTCAGACAGTCTAAGCTTGTGATAAGGAGAAGGCCTGGCCCTGAGAGGACAGGAGACGACAGGGAGCTGAGCTTGTGTGAGAGTCTGAGAGGCGGTGGAGGCTGCATCAGGAACGCACCAGGCTGAAGGCCTTCCTTCCAGGCAGGGAAGTAGCAGGCAGATGCCCTGGGCTGGTAAGGAACTAGGTAGTAATGGGGGCTGCCGGGCCTCCTGCCAAGCTCCCAGCAAAGCGCCCAGGGCCCTGGCTGGGGACTCAGGAGGCTCAAGGGAACAAAGGGACCCATCAAAGTTCCACGGAGAGGGTCACCTGAGAGGGAGAAGAAGAAGGCATGTCCCTCTCCCCACCACCACCATGTAACGATGGCCACCGTCACCTTTGCCCTCCTGGCCACCTTCAGCAGAGTCTTTTCCCAGATGCCCTCTGCAGCCATGGGGCAGCCCCCTCCTCTACTTCTGCCCCTGGGCTCCCTATTCCTTCCCTCAGGCCCTCAGCAGCTCCAAGCCCTAGTGTAGTTCCCCCCCCCATCCCAGGCCCCACGGGCTACCACTTTGTCAAATTCTCT